AGGGATACTTTTGACGGGTATAGGTCGGCGCCTATTTATAACTTTTTTTTAGGGCCAGTGCAATAATTTTGAACGGTTTTCATTTGAAAGAACAGGATTATTAATAATGTATATGTGTTACCTGTCATGTGCAAATCATTGAAAACAGCGGGATATAAATGTGACACAAGTGTCTGGGACGGGCCAGGGACAGTAGGCTATCGCCCTGACCAAGACGTATTTGGAGAATTTAGATCCCTTCTCAAACACGCGAGGAGCCTAGCATGATAAGGCCCGACATCTACAATGTATTGATTCTCACCATATAATAACAAAATGCTTGGCTATTGAGCGATCATAGGCCAGATTAAGTGTCTGCCATATATTATGATGTATTTGGTTTTTTTCTGTGTACTACTTATTGTATCTACTGTACATACTCCTCACCCTATAAAACACAGCCATATAGATTTGTTCCCAAATATCAGAAACCTTCACAGCCGTCTTTGTTTCAAACGTTCTCCGATTTCAAACATGGAGTGCAGTTTTGTGATTCAGTCTTTCTAGATAGCTCACTTCATGGTTCGCTCGCATGCACATTTCCGATCACATCAGTACGAGGGCACAATGGTCATATTAACCGACTGTCAATCAATCTCTTGCGAAGACAATGAAAGTTTTGTTTGGGGTTTAATCAGCGGTAACAACTAACTGCCTTCTTTATATTCAAATTACTTATTACATGGAATCGACTTTAAGAAAGGAAAACAAAACACAAGCAATGTCATGTTACCAGTTTAAAGGGAATTCTGTTTGACAAAACTAGTGAAATTTATTTACCATGTTATATAATTACTACATAAATGACACTCTGTTTTTATGCTTTGAAAATTTGCACGACACCCTGACAGTGTCGGGACATTCCGGGGTTAATTCCCAGTGCAACCATTGTTTAAATAATCTCATTAACACAGAATCATGTTTTTCCCCATTGTTAAACTTGTGCAATTTTACATGCATGTATTTATAACAAGAATACACAACAATGTATTGGGCAGTGTCCATTACATATACACACAACCTAAACGTATCTTGTTACACATTTCTACCGATAAGCAGAACGAAATGACAGTTGATCTTAAGAAAAATGTTGTGAATAATTATAAAGTATTTTTTTTCTCTGCTGTAATTTGTTATTCGGACTAAGCAGGAACCTTATATGGTTGTCTGAACTTTGTTATTCAAAGCACCCTATTATATTTAGAAATATATGGATTTCCTTGCTTTTTTGTTTCTGGCATAATTAAACACAGGGGCCTGACACCTAATACATGTATTAGATCAAAACTTTGCACCTGACCCTGTGATATTTATAGTAAGGTTTGTATATATGCATTTGCAAGGCCAGTTGCAAATTAAAATATCTCGTGAAAACAGACAAGACATGAAAATCCCTTTACTTATCCATTTACAATTTCTTTAATTGTATATATATTTAATCTCTTTACCTATTGTATAAAACCTCCTTTCTTACACATATATCAACCCTTTATTGGACATTTAAAGGCCCTTTACTTAAACAAGAACAATCCCTTTACCTAAATGCATACATACTTGTAGTACACAATCCATTTTAATTATTAATTACAAACTTGTTCCTTCTTGTTTGACCCTAATTAATACAGAACAACTAATTACATTAATGATTGTGTTTGATCTACTGATAACACTGGTATCTGATGCTGGGAAACAGATCTATCCTGAAGCGAGAGTTCACCATTGTACAGAACAGCGTATCAAGATGTATTAAGATAACACTTTTGTTGTATGGTATCAAAGTTAAGTATCTGATGGAAATAAACTTCATCTTATTTTTCATATATTAATTGTTTTATAGCTGTGTGTACCTGGTGTATGAGTTAAGTGTATAAAACTTTAAGTTGTTTGTCAGTAGTGTATACTTGTATGTGCGTAGTGGATACCTGTATATATACAGCATATACCTGTATGTATGTAAGGTATACCTGTATGTATACATGTAAGGTATACCTGTATGTATACATGTAAGGTATACCCGTATGTGTGTAGTGTATACCTAATATGTGTGGTGTATACCTGTAAGTGTTTGGTGTATACCTGTATGTGTTTGGTGTATACCTGTATGTGTTTGGTGTATACCTGTTTGTGTTTGATGTATGACTGTACGTGTTTGATGTATACCTGTAAGTGTTTGGTGTATACCTGTATGTGTTTGATGTCTACCTGTATGTGTTTGGTGTAGACCTGTTTGTGTTTGATGTATACCTGTAAGTGTTTGGTGTATACCTGTATGTGTTTGGTGTATACCTGTTTGTGTTTGGTGTATACCTGTATGTGTTTGGTGTATACCTGTATGTGTTTGGTGTATACCTAACATTTGTGGTGTATACCTGTCGGACTACCTATTTGTGACACACAGTGTGCAATATCCGAGCATACCTTTCTTGCATTGGTAAAGGTAAGGTAAGTATTGTACCAAATAAATAACTTATGCAGCCTTGCACACAGGGTGTGTGTGCTCGCATACGCCCGACATTCATTAACTACCTAGTACAGATATCCTGTATACAACTTGTTTCAAGGTCTGCCAAATTTTTCCAAACCTTAAAATCTTATGTAAAAATGAGCTAAGCCTGTTCATGCCGCTAGAATGTGATTTTCTAAGTTTGACCTTTTCACCTCCTATCATATTCCGCATGGCCATATATGGATGACAAGCCACCGGTTCTTTTTATGGATATCACAATCCACATGATCCCTAAATGGATTACAATCCACATGATCCCTATACTGATTACAATCCACATGATCCAGTGATAAATCTAAATGCGAGTCCTGAGGCTGAGTCCTATATTTGTATAATTTGATGGGACTCATAGAATTTCTGGAAATACTTAAATTTTATTATGGTGGGACTCATTGTTTTTAGCAATACAGTTGAAAAGGATCCATGAAAATAAATTGCAGATTGATCACTGAATTGACAAATATACGGATTACAATCCACATGATCCTTATACGGATTACAATCCACATGATCCTTATACGGATTACAATCCTCTGGTTCCCTATATGGATAACTAAACATATTTCCAGAAAAAAAATCACAACCCTATATACCTTAATTTTCAATTATCCTTTACACAAGCAAATACAAGGGGCCATAACTCCACCAAATGGGGTCCGCTGAAGTTTGCACGGCTATATATAATATCCATCAAGCTAGAAACAATCCACATATCACAATATCCACCTTGTTTCTATGATCACATGACCTTAAACGTATGATAATCCATACATTATTTTGTATGATCATCAATATACCATCATGATTATGATGATAATCTATTTCAATAATTATAATCTCCACCTGTCATATTCAGGCAGATGTCCAGTTTAATTGGCCCTTAAATAACAAAAAGTAATGAATTTAAAGCTTGTTTGACATTCCAAAAGACTAGGTACAACTTGACTGTGGGTCAATTTACTGAAACAGTTTCCAGTATACACTGATCTTTCATGTTTGTTTGTATATTTTCCAGAATTTATTTTCTATCAATTCATGAAAAAAATATGAATTAGCATACAGGAATTGATATTTTAAGCTCTTTATAACACACAAGATTTAGTCAATAATGTAACCCTGAAATTCTGTATGAATGATTATAATTTCACACGGGTTCTTTGATAACCCAGGGACTCCTGAAGTAGCCCTTACTTCTCATTGATTTCTTTCATACAAATTCCATGATACAGGTATGTTATAATGCAGCATATTTACTCTAACTGCACCGGCACAGAGATCAATGGCACAAGGACGCCAGACTGAAGCTCAGGAAATTATAAGAGATCACCATCTCTAGGCTGAAGACAAATGGAGGTCCAGTAAACGGGTGTGTTTATAGCTCTGCACAGGGTGAACTGGTGTACTTCCTCTCGCAGGCAAATCAAATCCAGGCAAATCAAATCCTCATAAAAACACATTCATGTGTAACCATTTCACAAGTAAAATCGCAATTTATATACAAACACTTATTCAATGTGTAATCTGTTCAAAAGTAACCTGTTCACACGTGAAATCATAATTTTGGTAAATTTCAAATCATTTTAATACCAGATTTCCAAAAAAAATGTGTTTAAATAAAATTTCACATTTAAATATAGACTGGAATACTCTAGACTAAAACTGTTTACTTTTGTGTTTAATGTTTAAACATATTTTAATTGATTGATTATGAATTACCAATAAACTTAATTAATCAAATCACATTTGTAGCATGCATATGATGGGACTGGAAAACTTTGGGTCGACCAGATTGTTAACTAGATTACACGAAATATATTCCTGTATGTTTCAACATGTACATAATTTAAGTACATGTAGTTTTTTTAAATTACTTTAAATGAATATTTCAATCAATTTACGNGGGGGAGGAGGGGGGAGGGGGGAGGAGGAGGAAGTATAATAATCCAAGAGTTAGTCAAGAGATAAATAATAACACAATGTTTATAAATAAAACTGTAAAAGATAAAAGTATATCAATGACTTAAACTAAAATCATAATGTAAAATAATATTTATTGTTTTGTTATGTCTGACCATCACCTCTACTGTATTGTTTCGATTTTCATAAATTTAAATATATATTTAAACAGAAATCTAGAAATTTAAAAATGATTTAATCTAAACTGTTTGACAAAAATAAAAAAATATTTGAAAACATAATTAGAAAAATAAAAAAGTGATAAAAATATGTAAAAATAATAATACAGATATGTCATATCAATATTAAATTAAAAATGCCTAATATAAATAATTATCAAAACTGCATGATTTAATTATTTTCAAATGTATTTTAAAATAATGAAAATATAGGATAAACAATATTAAATTTATTTTTAATACAAATATAAATATATATATATATATAATGTTAGTAAACAGTGAATCAGTATAAACTGCACAGTAAGGAAAATACAAACCTTGCTTATTCTCAATATCCTCTCGGGAATAGTAGAATACACAAATTGTCACACACTGGAAATCACGATTAAACTAAAAATTTAAATAAGAAAATCCCAGCAAAAATATTGTTAATCCATGTTGACACAGTTGTTTGTGTATAAAACACAAATCACTTTTTTCCTCTAAACCATTTTGATATTTTACAAATCCTCCTGTCGTCACACACAGGTAAAACTACCGTTATGGTTTAGGATAACGGCACTTCCCAGTGGGCGCTTTAAGCCCCGCCCCCTTTTGATTACGTCGACATGAAATCGTCACATTGGAATGTCAAACTTATACCAGCACACTCGGTCCTCTCGAAAATGTCATCTCTATCAAAACAGATGACCCAATATACGTCAATAACATTAAACTAATACCTATTGTATAAAAAAGCTACTTAAAGATGAACGAGGAGAGGACGACTGGAATCCGTTCTACCTGTCGCTGCTCCACGCTTTCTGTGTTGACATCGTTACCTTACACACTACTGGACAACTCGTCCCGGCTATACCTGTCCGCTCTACAGACACTTTATAATCAAAAGTAACCTTACCAGGCTAAGGTTTTTCCCTTCCCATGGCGTCTCGTGTATGAATTTGTTCTCGTCAGGGCCATGCAATATGTTAAAATCTTGTCTGAAGTTTGGACGGAAGTTGTTCTTGCGACGTAAAGTTAGAACATGGCGCATGACAAAAAACGCAACGATTGATCCGCTTCGAGATCACCCAACACAGGTAACTTACCCGAGGTAGTCTCCCTTCTACGACAATCTATGTCTGGACCTCAGCAGAAACACGTAACATTTTAAGTGTAACAGGTAGATCTATCACTGCCGGGTGTGTAAGAATACAGAGTATTCCGTATGCATGTAAGTTTACCGTAAACAGATAATTATTTGCGACGTGTTAGGGGTACATGTCACCTTACTGTGACGTGAATCTTCTTTCTGAAGAGTTCCACAACATTCAAATTAGGACATTCACGTCAAATTTTGAAGGCAGCACCAATATATGAGTTTATGATTACAATTATCTTATTTTGATTTTCAATATTTATAGATAGACTCAGAGATGTATATTACAGAGTGTTATATACGTCTCTGGATAGACTATAAACATTAATCCGAAATAATTGACTATCTCCTTAAAAAGGATGACAGTTATTTCCTCCCCATCAGTTTTAAAAAGGAAATAGTTAGTTTTTTTCGGAGTAGCATAACTTAAGTTAAAATCCCATTCAACAAACACACACCATCGTTTCTTCTTTCTACTTATTTCCTCCATATTTCTTTATTTCTAAGATAGCAAGCCCTCATAGCTTTCCAATCAGGTAATGTTATTTCATCCACTAAACAAGCATTTACCTTACATTGAAGACACTGGAAACATTGCGTTAAGGAAGAGATACTAGTTCTACAGAATTAGTAATAAAAATATTACAAATGTAATTTTAAGGTTTAAAATGTTATAGATGTGTTCCTGGACACCTCCCCCTACACCTTCCCGTCCAAAAAATAGCGGAATTTTAATTTCGCACAACACATTAGAAACAATTGTTCAAAACACGGAATTAGATTAGAGGGGTGTCAAAATGGACAAGCTACCAAACAATTTATTCGCCGGGGTTATATTTCGCAGATTTTACGATTATACCGAAAATTTTATTGAAACTTCCACGAAGTACACAAGCTTTTTATTTAAGAAACAAGGGCGACAACCGGAGAGTTGTTAAGTATAAAAGATGTACAGTATAGAAACGAGGGCGACAACCGAAGAGTTGTAACGTATAATAGCTGTACAGTATAGAAACAAGGGCGACAACCGAAGAGTTGTAACGTATACTAGCTATACAGTTTAGAAACAAGGGCGACAACCGGGGAATTGAAAAGTATCACAGCTGTACAGTAAAGAAACAAGGGCGACAACCGAAGAGTTGTAACATATAATAGCTATACAGTATAGAAACAAGGGCGACAACCGAAGAGTTGTAACGTATACTAGCTGTACAGTATAGAAACAAGGGCGATAACCGGAGAGTTGTAAAGTGTAATAGCTGTACAGTAAAGAAACAAATGCGACAACTGCAGAATTGTAAAGTATAATAGCTGAAGAGTATACCAAAAAGGGCAACAACCAGAGAGTTGTAAAATAGTATAACAAAAGGGGCAACAACCAGAGTTGTTAAGTATAATTGCTGTACAGTATGCAAACAGGGGCGATAACCGGAGAGTTGTAAAGTATAATAGCTGTATAGTATAGAAACAAGGGCGACAACTGGTAAGTTGTAAAGTATAATTGCTGTTCAGTATAACAAAAAGGGCAACAATCGGAGAGTTGTACAGTATAATAGCTGTTCAGAAGAGTTACAACGGCGTCAACCAGGCAGACGTATTGACATTTACTCCTTCACGCATAATCTGTTCTCTGAGTACGAACGATTTGATTTAGATAAGGAATGCGGATCTTCCAAAAGACTATGGGCCAGAGGAAAACCGATCTCTGTATGGAACTGATAAAGTCTGAGCCCTTTCAGACCTTGTTTGTTTACTTGTGCCGTATTGAATTCCTAATAAGTTAATCGACGTCATCAAAGGCGTGTCGTTAAATTAGCTGTATGTGTTGAAACTAGCAGGAATAATTGTATATCCCATTGGTTTACTGGTACCCAGGAACAGGTGAGAACGGCGTAAGAAAACAATACACCTGTCACTGACTTTAAATACCCAATACCTTAGTTCTACTTACGTAAACACACAATAAAAATTGCAGTCTTATGAATACTCTATTCACGACAGAAATTTAATGGTTATCTGTTTATAATGTTTTTATAAAATATGCAAGATACTGAGCACTTGAAGGACTGTATCAAGTATGGTAATTATAACTACAAAGAGACAAAGCGTTTGCTTGCGTCAACATTTAGAATTTTTTAATTGTAAATTTTTATAAAAGGACAAACACTTGTATGATGTTTAAAATGAATCATCATATGCTATTATATTTTGTTTTGTTTCTTTTTTCAGTTGAAGTGATAGCTGTATAATGCACTAGCTACATCTCAACAACTCAACCACATGTATCTATGGCGGACATACAGCGACGCGCATACACTCACTCAAGGTGAACTATCTTTTACAATCGATAATAAAGTGGCATTTCAGAAGAAAAAAAACCCCATCAATATCGCGTTTATAAAGCATAAAATCAAAACGTGTGCCCCAGGTCATCTGTTTATCATAATGATTTCACATGATATATTTTATTGATTATATCAGTTATTCCCCAAAATGACGTTAATAATTCGTTATAGTGATATCACATGATGGCTTGTATTGGTGATATCAGTAATTCCCTATGATGACGTCATCGATTGGTTATTCCGTCTTTGCGTATTGCAGAATTATCTTCTCTTGGGATCAGGTATTGATTGTAACGTCACTTGTTTGTGAGAGTAACGTCATCAATTTTTTTAGAAAACGACGTAATTTTCTCGCACAAACCAATGACGTAACAATCAATACCTGCTCCCATGAGAAGATTACTCTGCAATACGCAAATACGGAATAGCGATATAACAAGTTATTTTGTATTGATGATATCACTAATTCCCTAACATGACGTCATAATTCATTTTTGTAATATCCCATGATTGTTTTGATTGGTGATATCACTAATTCCCTAAAATGACATCATGCACCAATTCGTTAGTGTGATATCACCAATATCCTATAGTGACGTCACTAATTTTTATAGTGATATCACCAAATGATTTAGCGATATTATATGATCAGTATATAGATAGTATTAATTCATATTGGTTATGTCACTGCTATGTATTTATACAAAATAAATTGAAATTTTTGCTTTGTTCTAGTGATATCAATAATTCAGTTGATGTTAAATCTATTGTTTGTCAAATACCAATCCATCATATTAAATGATAAATGTAAAACGGTGCCTTATACCATACATATTTAGGGGCTTTATCTGTTTTAGTAAAACCCAAATTATTGACTAATTTAAAACCAGAATGTCGGTTCCACGTTTCTTTCTTAAAACGCGTTATATTCAACGTATCTACACTTTGAATTATGAAAAAAAAATAGTTGATGGCAGAATACGTGAATATTTCAGACGTCAGGAGACCACGGACAATAGGAATGTGTGATCTTACGTAAGGATGAAACATGCATGCGCGTGACCTGTGTGGCTATATGTAGATCGGTAAAGTACCCCAAGGAATAAGGCAGCTTCGTGCTTTAAAGTTTACTGTTTGTGTTGTTTTAATTTACTGATTTTAATTCAAGTTCAATACACGAGAGATACATATGATGCAGGTATCTCATACACAAAGGTAATATAGTTCACATTGGAACCAGGCTATTCCCTGAGGGTCGAGATAGACATGTACCAGTACAGTCAGCGCCAGATTACAGGTATACTGGATATACTGGCATCATCAGTTTTTTTTAGAAAGTTTCTCTGAAAAACACAAAGGCTGCGCAAGAATGAAGTATGAAGAGGGTTTTCCTTGTTATAAGAACTATGCGAAACAGTTTTCCGTACTCAAACGAACAAGACACTGACCAGCTTGGTGATTTTTTTAACACAGTCATGGATTTTGAAGCTTTCCCCAAAATCGAAAAGCCATCAGTATTGCTTGTAGTGCAACAGCTAAGGCATTTGAGGGGGAAATTCTGCCGATGCAGTATAACCTGGGGATCCGCTCACTAGCACAGTAGCAGTTTCGTTGAATTATGTACATATAATCTTACTGCTACTAGCACTAACACGTACTTATGTGATCACAGAAGTTGTTAAATACACAATGTATTGAATTATTTGAATCATTCAGCTAAACGTCTCCTCTGGTTTCTATTCATAATTGATGTTTCAGAATACACTTATACTTAATATCTGTATATAGAATACGCTTAATGCTTGTGTATATTTAGAAACAGTTGTGATTTTTTTAGAGATATTTGGGAATTAACAAAGAACAAATAAAAACACTTCGAGATTTAAAAACTGTACGAATGACGTAGGTTTGGGTAAGATCCGGATTGAGACCTGACCCCATATCACATTCCGGCCCGGTGTTTAATTACACCCAGACTGTATACAAGGTTATGTAGATACACGGTCTACAATCCATTCCAATCTATGGACAGACAAAATCAGTCGTACCATCGATCTATAAACAATGTCCTCGTGCCATTTATCAGTCACTTGTGACGTCTCCAGATTTATCGCTCCTTAATTTACATCCGAAAATTACACGGATATTTAGATTCGTGCAAATACACAATCCGAATAAAATAATTTAAATAAGGAACGGGAATTCAGGTATTTTCCTCTTGTAGAGGTATATAACAAGGGTAGGTCACCGGATACCTATGTCGTAAAATTACATTATTTGTGACTAATAATAATTAAGGTGTCCTAAATTCAGACCATCCGAAAATTGATTAGTATTTTATACTTTAAACATCCCTCATTTTTGGAGGCTATATATATTAATCTGTACGATCAAGTATTGGTTTTTCACCTGTATACCGTAATATGTCGAAAACTCACAAAATCAGGATATGCGTATATGGTCACAGGGGACTGTACCATTCTCCTACACTTTATCAGTATCAACGTTACATGTCCCTGTGTATGTTGCTATGCTGTGTGTGGCTATGACGTTCATGTACGAATGAAATCCTTTGTACTTCCTTTCCCTT